CAAGAACCACAGAAAAGAACCCTCCCAAGAAACTAATGAGAGATGTCGTGGCGGCAAAAATAACGAGACAAGAAAGAGATTGTATAGCGGATAAAAGGGTAAAATACTTCCAGTTCTTTGGAAGTCGTATTGCGTTTCGTTTTAGCCTCAATTTTGTTTGGATGTTTGAAATAGAGAAGAAATCCTTCCATTTTGTGTCTTTTGAGTCAAATGAAGCAAAAATAAATTTGCAAAAGATGTTAAATATACGAATTTGACCTCCCCCCTAAAGAGGTTGTACTGTATTGTAAGATTTTTAGTCACCTGTTGACGTATCTGTCAGCCAAGTTATAGTTGCTCCTGCAGCATTCTCAGTTTGTCCGTAACCCTCTACAACCTGTAAAACAAAGAGAACTTCTTGATTTCAGCTGAACTCTCCAAACTGAGATTCTGTTCTTCCTGATTTTTAAAAACTCCATATGCAACTTGCAAAAAGTCAAAACAAAATGATGTATTTTATAGTGGAAACTGACAATGACTTTATCAAGAGATGCCAAAATGATAAACTGTAGTGACGTCGCACATTATTTATTACATGGTAATTAGAGCTTGTTTATAAATAACGCGCACTGTGATTGGATAATAATCGCGCGCTCGAATACTCGACTGAACCTACGAAAACAAGGGACTGCTCGTAGTTTAAATCCCCAGCCAAACGATCGCAACATTTCAACGCAACATATCGCAACACTGTTGGGCGCAACATGTTGCGCCCGTTCGGCCACCCTGTTGCGATGTGTTGCGACGTGTTGCGACATGTTGGGTGTTGTTGGCTCAAATTTGAAAATGGTCAAATTTTTCATGCAACATTTGTGAATGTTGCATGATGTTGTAGTCATTTGCCCAAGGTCGTGCAACAATGTTGCACCCTGACATGCGCAGTAGTTCGATTCTCAATACCCAACATGTCGCAACATGTCGTAATAGGTTGGCCAAACGCGCACAACATGCTGCGCCTAACAATGTTGCGATATGTTGTACTGAAATATTGCGATCGTTTGGCCGGAGCTTGTAAATGCCGGACCAACAATGTTGCGATATGTTGTGTTGATATGTTGCGATCGTTTGGCTGGGGCTTAAAGTCCGGTTAGTTGCTATATCAAAATTACGATGACTTCTACAAGCGTACTTACATAACAAGAGCCCAAC